TATATAATTTATGTATTTTCTAATTTTATTTGTTTGTTTTTTAAGTGCCATTATTGCAGAATTGCTTTGGTGGTTGAAAACAAAATGGATGAATGAATTCTGATGTGTTGCTGCTTTTTTCAGGGGGACGGTAACATCCGTTACTTTGAAATAACCACTGAGAAGCCATACATCCAATATTTAATGGAGTTCAGGTCTCCGGCCCCACAGAAAGGACTAGGTAAGTCAGACGTTCATCAGCGATGATGTTTCCTGTTAAAAGTAGGAAAAGCAACCTTCTTCATCAGAGGTCTTTAGAGATGGAGGAAGGGAATAAGCTGGGGAATGATGTCAGCCTCAGTGCTTCTCTGAAAATGATGCTGCTTGTCTGAACAAATRCAGTTCCTTGAAGAAAAACAAACTGGCACAAGCATGAACATTCTGGAAGCATAACAAGCTCAGCTAACTAGTCTAAAAATGTGTCCCAGCAGCCGGTTTGTTTGTGTTTGTGGGTCTCAGTGATGCTTTCAGGGGATGAGTTTCATGCTGTCAGAACAATCGTGTCACTGCGTCGTTTCTCCTCTTGTCTGCAGGTGTGATGCCAAAGCACGGGCTGGATGTGGCAGCCTGCGAGGTGTTTCGCTTCTACAAACTAGTGACCTTGAAGGGTCTGATAGAGCCCATTTCCATGATTGTGCCAAGACGAGTGAGTGAGGCTGTTTCTGCTCYGTTTTCCTATTGAAAGCAATGTCTGCAGGTTTTATGTTGATTTCCAACTCTTGAAGGCTAAAACACTCTTGAAACGTGGGAAATGTTGCTTTACATCTCTCTGAAACAGTTTGTTACTAGGTTAAACAAAGTTGGAATGTGATCAATTACACTATTTCACCAGGATTCAAGGATGTTAGTTTGAATTTCATGTTTAAAATTTGAACAAGAGAACATGTTTCAGATGGGGAAAAAAATTACAAACACAAAATAACTGAGAAGTTTGTTTGAGAATAAAACTGTTTATGATGTGCTAGTGACATTTTATATAAAGCACCCAGAAAGCCTTTTAAAGGAGACATAATGCGAAATCAACTTTTTTATCCGTTAAACACATTTTGTTAGATGGACGAGCCTTACATGGTTGAAATCTTTTAGTTAATTTGTAGATATAAATTTCTGCGCAGCTATATAGTCGTAAACCCCTCTGTCAAACTGGCTGGAGGGGGTCGGAGTGTGAAACGCCTTGTTTGGATTTAAAGAGACAGCCTCAAAGCGTGTTGATCTGAGGCACACTTCCACTTTATATAGACTCCAACTGAATGATTTAAATGTGGAAAAAATGGTCTAAAAGCATGATATGTCTCCTTTACCTGTTCCTTCAGATTAATTACAGGATTATAATGTAAAATACCTGCTGATGGCAAATGTGGTTACAACAGTGGGCATGTGTGTTCACAGTCAGATACATACCAGGAGGACATATACCCGATGACTGCTGGAACTGAACCCGCCCTGTCAGCCAGCGAGTGGCTGAGTGGGATCAACAGAGGTAATAAATAAATAAATAAATAAATAAATAAATAAATAAATAAATAAATAAATAAATAAATAAATAAATAAATAAATAAATAAATAAACGTGTGGAACGCTGCAAAGCTCTAGAGTTCAAATGTCTGGCTTAACAGAGCCTAAAACTCTGCAAAAAAACTTTAAAAAGGATATTTCATTGGCGGTTTTGTTGACCTAGTTTTAAAATTGAGGCCTTGAATCATTTTGATCCGAAGGCAACATGAGGGTTAAATTACATCGATCCAGCAAATAAAATTACTCAAGATGTGGTTTAGTGAATAATTAAAGATCCTAATGAGAAAAAAATAACTGTTCCTACTAGAACAAGAGAAGATATTCCTCATTTGTTCCAGACAGCTGTTAGTTAGAAATAAGAACGGGCTTCCTGCTCTTTAAGTGAAGAGGATTATGTCGCTCTGACTCCATCCTGTAATGTGCAAACAACTTCATGATCAGCTCTAATTAAATATATAAAACATATTGTCTAAGTTCAAACTAAATATTTACAAACATCATGGAGCCCATAGTTCATCACRATCTTGATATAAATGGTTCTGATGGTGTCGTTTTGTACAGTCCACCCCATTTTTCATGTATTTGCCTGGGTGCACTGCAGGATGTGTGGCTTGAGTGGATTTGAGTTTCTAATTCTTCTTGAACTTAAAATTATGTAAAATCAGAATGGCTTTGCAGATTATATTTAATAGATTGGATGTTTAAATGAAACTAAATCACATAGTTTGTGATTAAATCTGACCGTTTCAATGCTGGCTTTTAATTAGCACCTAAATGTGGGACACTGAGTGACAGTCAGGCCAATTAGGCATTTATTGAAAATCCTGCAGCCATGACAATAAATAAATGCTATAGTCTTGATATCATTTAATAAGATTAGTCAACAGGTTGAGCTTCTTGCTGACAGTAAAACTCAACACCTGCTCACTTCTTATCTAACAATTTGAACTGTGCTCTGATTTTAAACTTGGTTTATTATCAGAGCCATGAATGAGCCAGGAGGTTTTTGTTCTGCCGTTCAAACAGACCCGGTCCTGATGTCCCTAAAGGAGGGTTACAACCGTCCAAACCAGCTGGTGTTCAAGGCCCCGGTGAAGGAAAAGAAGAGCGCAGTAGTTAATGGGATCGACCTGCTGGAGAACGTACCGCCCCGGACAGAGAATGAGGTATTTAGTAGTTTGAACGTGTCAAAAATGATGCATCCTCATGAAAGGTGAAGGGTAGAGACAAGTGTGCATGCTGCAGAGCTGACGATGCTTCTATGACCGCGCGATTCCACGCACCTTTTATGTTTTTTGATTGCAGCTCCTGCGAATGTTCTTCCGGCAGCAGGATGAGCTGCGGCGGCTAAAAGAGGAGCTGACCACTAAGGACGTGCGAATACGGCAGCTGGAGCTGGAGCTGAACAACCTGAAGAACGTTAACCCCAACAACGTCTGACCTCTGAGCCTCCCGAACAGGCAAAATGCTGCTTCTTTTACTCCCGGTTCTGACCTACAACAAGCTTCTGAACCCCACCGTATTGCTTTTTTTTTTATCCCAATCATGCCATTCTTCTTGCTGCCCTGCATAGCCTACAATTATATGATGACTGTTAAATAACATCTTGATGCAATTACTAGAATAACGTAGTAGTGTTAATTACCATAAGTATTGAAGGTAGAAATTTCAGGGATTTCCTCCTGTATAACATTTGATTGATAACATTTTCTGTTTATATAAATGAACATGTCTGTTCCAGCACACTCTGTAGTGTTATAATCACTCACCGCATCTTTCCAACCACAACACCTGAGTATTTCTGTCACACCTGCCCTGTTTTTTTTCATGTGGCAATGCCTTGATGACCATGCAAAAAAAAAAGTCCAAGCCGACTTATCCTTCTGTACCAACCAAACAAGCTTTGAAAATTTGTTTTACGTCGTGACAAAACTGGATGAGGAAACAACTTTTACATGCTCCTAACTGATCCTCCCAAGGCCTTAGATCCTGCTGTTAGCCATGAGCTGTGACTCCACCTCATAGTAGCAGAAGTGAAAGTAGTTTTTGTTTTTTGGAGACTTTTGCAGACATGGATCCTGCATTTTTCACCTCTGTTGTCCTTAAAACTGACTTTGCAGCACTAACACATGCTTCAGATGCAGTCAGAAGAGTGGATGTTTGATCTTTCTGTGTTCAAAGGGGAAATAGCATCACAGACGGTGGACTCTAACATACTCCTGAARGAAGAAGGATCSTCACAGGTTTTTKTTTTTTAGGGCTGACTCTGAAAATTTGAATTGTTGTATATTTGCTTCTATTTATTTGACCTTTTTAGCCAATAACCTATATATTTCCTAATCTAGTTGTTTTTGTATGACGTGGCTGCACAAAGTTAATGACTGTGATGCTTGATGGATTGCTCTGAATGTCTCTGGTTGAAATGGTGCAACATCTGTGTGGGCTGCACAGTGAAATGTAAGGTTTCTTAGACTCTGGGAGCGTAACTTCAAATAAGGTATGAAGTTRTATTATTGCCTATTCCTAACAATACAAACTGTAGTAACAATTGTTCTTTAGCATTTAAACTACGTGTATCACTATAACTGAGATGTGTTTACTTTTTAAACGTCTAATTTTGCTTTAAACACTTTGGGTCGTTTTCATTTTTACTTCATTTGTATCAACTTTGACTAAATGACAGTCTAAGGATCTCCCTTTTGTGTTTAACTATAAACAGCTGGATTTTTCTTCGCATGTTTAATTACATGTTTTTTATCCTTAATTTTGATCTCTGTAATATAAGACAAGTGGGGGRAAAAATCTACCAAATGCAGCATAAGAAGGAAATTTATAAGAGACTGGAGATCACAGTACTGTGTTTTTTGCATCAAAGCAGAAATATTATGGTTACAGCTTCAAAGAGAAAAATCTGAAAAACAGCCTGTTTCTTTTTTATGCTAATTCTAAGAAATGTAGAAAAGAAACGTAAGAAAATCTGACAGCTGGAAGCAACTCCTCTGAGTCGATGGAGTTGCAGAAACAGGAAGCACATGTGGAAGTTGTGAAAAGATCTGTCATGTAGGTGTATGGAGGGCTCAAACAATTTTTCACCTTTTAAAATATCCTATAGTTTGTGTTTATATCTTTATTTTTTGTTGTTGTTTTTTTTTAGCAGTGTTTTGTAGAATTGTTGTCTGTRGTCAAGTTTCTTACCTGGAGCATTATGAGTTTGGAGAATCGGGTCAAAGTTCTCTCAGACAAGTGGAGTCAGCTCCAGAACAGCTCTGGTCTCAAAAAATGTCATAATAGTTTACACAAACATTATTTTACAAACCTTTACAATGCTGTCACTTTTACATTAGTTATTTACACAGAAGTCTGTGTTATACATACTAGAGTTGACTGTGGTCCGTTACCAGTAATAGTCCAGGTCTCAGGTGCAAACATGTCAACACCTTTGGGCAGTATGGTACCTGTATCATGATGCTCTAAAATTTGTAATTTTCAGAAAAACTCTGTAATACTCRCACACGTCTGAAATGTRAAATTAATTTGAAGCTTTTTTTAAATCCATGACATTGTCAAAAAAACTGCAAAATCAGGGGTGGGATCCATGTAATTTACAGACAATCCGTACAAACTGGCATAATTATGACAGTAAATATAGAAGCAAGCTCCTGATACTAATAATTCAWATCTAGACACTGTCAAAATATGACCCAAACAGAACATAAAGATATCTAAGAAGAACCAGGAGAAACTAAATTAAACTTTTCTGCACACAGAGACTCCAAGTACACAACAAAATATATTTAATGACTAAAAGGGTGTATTTTGTATGTGTCCCCTTTAAACACAGTGATAAGTTGTAAAAATTAAAATCACAGCAGTGCAAAAGCAGAAGTTTGCACCCCCACGTTAAAAATGAAGGGCGTAACTGCTCTATTATGTTGCACTGAACTGTTTGGTCTAACCAGGCACATCCATTCAYCCATCCATTTTCTGTACACGCTTCTTCCTTTCAGGGTTGCGTGGGTCATTGGTGCCCATATCCAGCAGTCACAGTGTGAGGGGCGGGGTACACCCTGGACAGGTTCAAGTTCATTACATGGACACACTTCACTCTCTCATTCACACCATTGATCAATTTAGAGTTATCTATTAACCTAACAGTCATGTTTTTGGTGTGGGAGGAAGCCGGAGTACTCAGAGAGAACCCACGCATGCACGGAGAGAATATGCAAAATCTACCCAGAATGGTCCCTGGGCCGGGATTTAAACCGGAACATAATGAGTGTAAAAAAAACATTTTACAATTAAATACAGCTTTACTTTTCCATCAGATAGTCCCTTTACCCAGGTTTATTGGAGCCTGTAAAAAATGAATTTCTGTCATCTTTGGAACAAATGAAGTCTACCAAGCTGTGGGCTTCTATTGATACAGCTGTCTCATGAGGTTTGAGTTGTTTTAGGACACCAAATCTCTACTTCTGGCCATAATTTGATCACCTGTTGGCTTGACTGCACCATCAATACTTCTGCCCAATACTCCAAAATATCAACAAAATTAAAGATGGACAAAGTGACTCCATTAACTTTTACTGACCCCAAATGAAACCACGTTACTGAGAAGAGGGTCTGTGCAGTCACTACGCAAGGTTCTTTGTGTGAGGGTAGAGTTTAGAAAAGACACGATTTGCCTGTTTGACTTTTATTGGAGGAGGCTCGATTGGTTGGATTGACTATTTTGGATGGGGTTTGAAGAAGCTGAAACGATTTGATTGGATGAACGCCAGGCAGCTTGGGTGGGTGGGGGGGGAAGTTCAGCTTAATCGAAAAGGCCAGAAAGCATCTAGACTTTTGAATACGAGTGATAATTTTATAATGCGCAAAATTTGAACTGTATACCTGTGGAGGGATGTGTAGCAATTTTCTCATTCAAAACAGCCCTAACCAGGAAAATATCAATATTTTCAAATATGAATGGTCATGAYTTGAGACAGGAAGACGCCAGTCGCACCAAATTTGAAGTCAAGTTCTGCTTTAAATAGACAATAAATTAGGTTAACATGTTCGCAATCATTTTACTATTACCATACTTCCCCCACAAGTCATTCTGAACAGTTACAGATTTGCCTAACTCCGCCCACAGAGTCAAAAGCTCCACCCACATAGACAAAATACTGCCCCCCACGTACTGAATGAATGACGACTGGCATCAAAACCCTACCGGCTGTAATTCTGAACATTTGATTGTACAAAAACCACAAACTTCCAAAATGTATATAAAAAGGATTTATTGAAGTGGATGGGAGGAAAAAACAAACAAAATTAATTGATGACAATAAATTTACCAGAGTGAGGAAAACTTACTGAGGTAGGCCAATTTGACCATTGCCTTTATAGAGGAAAGTAAAGTCCAAATAACTGTTTTCCACAGTTTACACTTTGAAACAAACTTTCGAAGCACACAAGTTGCAGTAACCTTGAATTATAGCAGGTACTTCTGTTACCGTCTACAAGAGAAAAAACTCAGAAAAAACAACAATGCGTTCTGATATTTCCTGGAAAGTTTATGCATACAAAGTTCTAATTCAAGAAATTTCACACTGCGTATTTTAGATAAAGCAGCATACGTATTTAATATATTTTTACAATTCATCGTTTTACCTCAGTTGTCTGTTTCAATGTCTGCCGTCATCAAAGAGAATACAAAAAAATAGATTTGGTCTTTATTTACAAGAACACGTAATATCCGAACTATCAAAGCTGAGGGTTTGAGGAGGAGGAGGAGCGGCTTTGACAAAGGCAGACATGTTTTTTTTATTATCATGATTTAAAGGAAAGAAAAAAAAAGCCCTGCTAGGGTCACACTGTGCACGTTCTGACAAAAGTTTCACACCAGGACAGCAGAGGATATTGGCATGATGACACTACAAAAAACATAACTTATACTTAAAAAAAACAGAAACAAAGAATGAAAAACAATAAATTTAGGACAAGAAAACAGCCGTACATGAAATCCAGTAGTTGACTTTAAAATGTATAAGACATGCACTCTTTTTGTGTTTTAGTATTTTTGTTTTTTTTTTGTTTTGTTTTGTTTTTCAGAGGGAGGTCTTAAAATACATAAACCAAATGAAACTGGTTTTACACAAATAGTGAGAAAACAGGAAAATAAAAAGTTCTCAAAAAAAGGATTTATTTTGCTTTTATTTAACTTTACAAAACAAGCGTCCACAGAGCAGGTAAAAGTGGACTGAAGAGACTGGGAGCATCAAAAAGGTACGTGAATTTTACTTTCATTTTTTTAAATTATTCCAGAGAACCCCTTCAATCTGACTGGCCAATAACAGAAAGCACTCCGACTGCAAAATGAAACTGGGAGGAAAATGATCAAATAAAAACAGGTGTGGGTGTTGTGGGCAGGTGAGCAGGAGATACACATTTTTAAAACAGTTCACAACTTAGCTTACATCAGGTACTCAATCATCCTCATCCTCCTCCGCTTCTTCATCCAGATCCCGTTTTCTCTTCTGACCTCGCTCCTCTTCTACAAAATAAGGATCACATGAATATCATTCAGGTAAAATTGTTATCAATAATAATAATAATAATAATAATAATAATAATAATAATAATAAAGTTGACTGTCTGAATTTACATTGTAATTTGAAGCATTTTTGTGTCTATTCCCACCAAAACTGCATGACCTGAACCAAAATTGATGTCTTCAGGTTTTCAGTAGTGGTGTCTGGATACTATAATGCAGGGCTATTCTACTAAATTGCTCTGGGGGCCACAGTTACTGCAGGCTAACAGCACAGGGGCCAAACATCCAGCAATTAAAGTCATTATGTAAAAAAATCAAGTATTACAAAGATCTGTTACCTTTGAAATAGTTTATTTTGGCTGCATTTAATCATGAACACAACATACAGAACCCTATAAAAGTAGTGGTAATTAAACAATAACWAAAAGAAAACATTATGCCTCGTATTTACCACAAATATTATTTTGACATCTCTGACTTGCCAAATTTTTAAACCAATTTTATTTTCACGTTCATAGTTTAATCTTCAACTACTTGTAGTTTTAACTGTCTTGGATGTTTGTTGAAATGTTTTTACCAGTTTCTAGACAAGATACTGACTTTGCTATAGATACCAAACATGTCTATGTCTAACTAAAAGAACTTCGAGTAATTAAAGTAGAAAACTGGGGGTTTGGTATGAACCAATGGGCGGGCCAGACTTTGGTCACTCGAGGGCCGGCTGTGGGCCGCCAGTTGATTAGCCTTGCTGTGATGTTTCAGTATTATGCCAAACACCAGTATTTTTATAAGTACTCATAAAAAATGCTCCAATACCATTACTGGGATACAAATACACTCCATTTGAGTGTGCTACAGTTTATGTTTCAAGAGAAAAGTGTTACTTCCGTGTTTAAGAAATGTATACAAGTTGAAAGTAATACTTATTCATTTTTAAAAGAGTAACTAAACCCCAAGATAAATTTGTGCGTTAAAGGACATTGTCTTTATATCTGTGCTAATTTTGATGTTTTCATGTAAATTTGTTTAATTCTGTAATATCTGGTCTAAAACTGTCTTAGTGCTGCCCTGTATGGGTTAAACAGTGGCTACTGCAGTTGAATTTTCCTATTGGTTAAAAACGTCCCCTCATCCTGACCACACCTCCTTGCTCAGTCCCACATTTGGTCGTGCTCCTCAAGGACTCTTGGCACCACTCACTTTGTTGTCGTTTTTTTTCCACATTTGCCTGCGGGTGGGGTTATACTTTCACAGTGGGGGTTAGTTACACTTTAAATGTTACAACAGTATATACCCTGCTGTATATTCAATTTGATCCAATCAGAGAAGCTGTAAGCTTTTAAGAAAGGAGAGACAACTAAAATCATTGTGTAGTGTTTAGTTTCTAACTCAATAAGTACTTAGTATCAGTACCCAGTATCTACATGTACCCAAATTWAAGTGCTTGTACTCATACTTGGTTTAAGAAAAACTGGTATAAGGACACCTCTAGTTTTAGGTCTTAAACCGTGTTCCTCATGAGCCACTGTCCTGCATGTTTGGACAGTGGATCAAGAGGAGCAGGGTTGAAGACCTCTGTTTTAAGGGCTCGACACACGGGCAGCGACAAACTACAGCGATTAACGGCTGTCATCGCAGCCAGGGTGAAACCCGACACACGGGACGCGATAGCGATCGCAGCGTTGCGAATCGYGCTCTCAGGTCGCTTGTCTTCACGAAATTTGATTGGTTCTTGACTCTGAAGGGGGGTGTGGATTAAGGACGTGTAAACTAAACAAATCTTGCGATGCTAATGATATTGAAAAACAAACACACATCAAGATACAGTTTTATGAGGAAAAACTTACCATAAACTTCACCCTGGTGCCAATAAATTCCCACAAAGCTTTTTAGTAATCACTTGGTGAAAGTGTTAGCTAACTGCAGTRTGTAGCATACTCTCCTCTCATTGGTCAGTCAATGAAACCCTCGCTGATTGGTTGTACGCTAAGCGACAGCGACAAAAGTAGAACATTTTTCAACTTTCATATGTCGCGTCACAAGCTCGCGTGTGCACATCTACGTGTACGAGCACGAAATTTCACATGCACTATTTTCGCCGGTCGCTTAGCTGGAGGGCAATCGATTGTCGCCTCACCGCACAGGCTCCATAGGAAATGAATGGAGAGCGAGCGACGTCGCCTCCCGTGTGTCGAGCCCTTTAGATGAAATGATGCTAAACAATATAGAGTTTATCTCAAACTACAGCATGGAGTCATCCCTCGTTTTTTTATTCMTAGTTTTTAATGAGTAATGTTTTTTGTTTTGTAATCTCAACAAGTGGTCGTGACAAATCCTTCTTTAGATTTTCTGAAGGTATTTCTATTCTTCGGATTTTGGCTGYTTTGTATTTATTTTCGGTCCAGTACTAAACCATTTTAAGGCGAATAGTTTTTAATGTGTGTTAAACCAACTTARCTCTGTCCTGTGTCAGGCATAAAGAAGCTGGTAAACAAAGAAWGGACGAGTGCTGTGTCGACACAAAACTTTGCAAAGAACTAAATTTAAACGTGGATCTTCAAACAGGTTAATATTTTTTAAAACCTAACTAAAGAAGCAGTAAATTGTATCTTTGCGATATACTACAGGTAACAAAGAGTACACATAAAAGAACACTGAAAAATAATGCATTATTTGTGGTGAAATGTTTGGATTTTCTTCTGCTTTTCAACACGACCGTCAATTTCTGTTCCTCAAACGTAATTTTAGGTCTTTATACTTTGTCTGTTGTTCTTCACTTTTCTCACAGTTTCCTAAACAGACGACACAATATGCAGTCATGATGCTAATAAGAAATATGAGCAAATATTTTAATAACTAGAATAATTTTCTTTTCACTTCTGAGGCCTTCATATAAAGCTTGTTAGTCAGCTGAATACTTTAATGACCTGAGACAGCAGCTCTTTTGATTTTAGAATAATTCGCATGTAAACTGATGACTCGGGTAAAAAGTACATTACATCTAYAGTTCAGCCATCAAATAAATGTGTTGCTAATCTGTTTTGAAGATGCCCACCATTTTGCTTACCTTCATCCTCTTCATCATCAACCTCTCTATCATTCAAGTCTTCCTCTTCTTCCTCCTACATTGAAACACAAGACAAGGTCGGTTTGGTTAACTTGTGTGTTTCTGTTACTATTTAAAGTTTCAGCAACAAAAACTCTTTCATCTTGCCCACCTCTCCACTCAGTTCCTCCTCGTCGTCATCTTCATTCTCCTCTTCATCTTCCTCTCCCTCTTCGTCCTCTTCATCCCCGGGCGGAGCGTCGTCATCGTATTCCTCCTCGTCTACATCTGAGTGAAAGAAGGCGGTGGTTTATGCGAAAACGTTCAAATGCCGCACTACGTTAAAACAAACAAAAGTCGTTTGTGTGAAAGTCTTCACCATCTTCGTCATCCTCTTCATCRTCCAGGCCCTCTGCGTAGACCTCTCCGTCAGAATCTGGCGCCTCTTTGTCGTCTTTGTCGTACCCGTCCAGGTACGTGAGCTGCGGTAAGAGCTCGAAGACATTGTCTCTGTACTCGTTCAGGTTTGTCACTTCACAGTTAAACAGGTCGAGGCTTTTCAGGGCCCCCAGTTCTTTCTGCCAGAATAAAAACACATTTCTGTAGACAGAGCAAAGCACCTAGTCCTATATTACAAAAAGAGTTAGCCAGAATGTTTTTTTAAGTCGACTGAATGTCTCATTTTACTTCAAATCTTCTAGGAGTACATCTTTTATGCAAAATTCGGGGAGGAGTACCTATTGGTTATCACTTACCAATGGCTCTATTGTGCTTAGGTCTTTTATTTTGTTGCCACTGAGGTTGAGATGTGTGAGGTTCGGACACTTCTCCGCCAGAACTTCCAACCCTCCTGAGATCCTGTTATCGCTGAGTTCGAGCTGTCAATCAATTTCAAAAACCAAAAAAACATGAAAAACCCAAAAGTCTAAAGATTTGGACTGGCTCTGTTGAAAAGAAGAAGAAAAAAAGGCACTCACCTTCTTGAGTTTCTTTAGCTTTGGCAAGTGGGCAACTGTCGTTAGACCGACATTGATTGTGCTTAAAAATTCCAGCTCCTCAAATTCGTCCGTTAGACCCTCGATCTTGCCTTCATTTGAGCGACAGTTGTCTAGCACGAGTTCTTTGACCTGTCGAGAAATTAGTGACATAAAAACATACATAAAATGTTTGTTAATGAAATACCCAGGCATGACTGTATTTATGTTGTTTTTCCATCTGTGATTAATTCTGTATACCAGGGGTGCCCAAACATTTTCTCTGAAAGGGCCAAAATTAAAATCAATCWGAGGGGGGTGGGCCAAATGCAGTAATATAATACACGAAATGCAAATATTTCAAGGAAAGTTGTATTTTTTATGATTAAGCTGCAGCCAGTGCAGTTGCCCACATTTTTTTTCTAGCCCATCGACATGGAGAAAATTCAACATTTGCTCGGGCAGCAAAGGCTCATGGGACTTTTCATAATTTAAAATTTGAGTATATGTGGTCTTATTAGGTGTGCAAATCTAGAAATGAACTTAAATCTAATATAAATGTCTCTTGAAGTTACTTGTATTATAAGTTTAATCTTAATATAGTTCAAAGAAAAAGTGAGCACCATGAGTTAAGTTTATCTGACTAGCGCTCCTTGTACCTATAATTGGACCAATGTTTGAAAAGACTAAGTGCAAATAGTATTTCTACATAAAACAGGAGATTACAATCTAGTAACCAGGCTAGTGGGCCAAATCAAATGGCTTGGCGGGCCAAATTTGGCCCACGTGCCCCACTTTGGGCACCTCTGCTGTATACCATTACTAAAGTGCAATGCAGAGTTTATTGGTAAATGATAGTAAGGATGAAATTTTTATTTTTTTAATTAAGACACACACATACTTCTCTCACTCTATGATTACTTTTAAAGACATGACACACTCCGTTAAAAAGTAACATCTGTTAAACAGATGATAACTAGCTTGTTAGTCCTTGAAACAAAGATAAATATGGGGTGCAGTCACATTCAGCCAGAACTATTTAAGAGGAAGTCGGTTCTCACTGGATCTACTGATATGTAAAGTAAAAGTCGGTGATATACGGTCACAGGTGTGCTGCTATCGCATTTTTTTTCACTCGGACCTTGAACGTGTCTCGGCCAATCAGCAGCGAGATAACTCTCTAATCAACAACCTTCAACGGCACATCTCGGACTTCTAGTTCTCGCGATATGTTGGGTTTTTCCTCATTACGTAAATATCTAAATTTGATTCTTTTTGGAGGAGAAACGCATAGAGAAGGGCTACTGTGGCTGTTTCTGTAGCGTGTAACCGAATTGCAGAACAAATAAAGAGACGTGTTAGCGCGTCTTTGAAGCTGCGCAGAGGCACGATTTAGTCGAAACAAATCGGAGCCGAGCCGACCTACGAGTCGTACACAGGGTCATTTGTGAGTAGGAGGGGCCGCTAAAGCCGATTAGGTAGCTGCCAGGCAAACGTTTCGTTGTTGCTCGTGCTAAAAACACGTACCGATTGGAGCGGTGGCGAGTGTAGACTTCTAATAAGAAGAAGGTATGATTAATCGTCCGTCGTTTGTGTCGAATGAACGGGGCTTTCGTTGTGTTTCGAACTGCCTTTGTTTCTGGGTAAAATGGCGGCGGCTTGTCCTAGTTGTGGGGGGAAAGTGGAGCAGCAGCTCCAGTGTTTGTTTTCATTGCGGCTCGCTTCTTGCTCAGGCCCACCGTGTCAAAATGAGTCCCGATAATGCAACTTGAACGAACACTCGGGAGGTTTTAACCGACTCCGGGGTGTGTTTTTTGTCGTATCGGCGTGCCATTTTTGTTAAGCCAGCATCATCATCATGTCGCTGACTGGCCGAACGAACTGCGCTTCACTTCAGCCATCATCTCTGCCTACCTGGGCTCCCGTCGGGAGGCAGCACTGGCTCTAACCGCTGTAAGCTGCTCACATAAACAACTTCAACAAGACACTTTGACTAATAAGTTAAAAAGGAGGCAACTTGAATAACTCGGTACCACCTGCATCGTTTTCACCCCTTTCACTAGCCGTATCTGTAACCCGCCAAGTGCACCGCGTTTAAACGTGTTGGTGAACACGCACACATACCGGGGAGGTAAGCCTTATAACCCGCGAGTAAATAACAATAACAGGGTGCTGAACGACAAAAAGGGGCGCGTTCGTAGGTGAAAAGTTACAAATATGGCTTCTCATACCGCTTGCGTTGTTTATTTGGGGGGAGAAAGGCTGCATTCTCAAACTGCACATCAAAAGCTGGGAGCTGCACAAAAGTTTGAAGCGTCGGACCCGCAGCAATTGTAAACACGACCGCAAAGCAACAATGTAACCCGACGTCTCCCTTATCTTTTTTTTAACTCGGAGGAAACTTTTGTATCCCCGACACACGCCGCCGAGACATCAACACAAAATGTTCTCCATTATTAGCAGAGAGAGAGAGAGAGAGGGAGAAACATTACAGAAAGATGCGAGGCCCCGACTTACATCTGACGGAGTGCGGTTCCGCAACTCTAGGTGAATTCTTTTCTTCATGTCCATCCTGGGTCYGCGCGCCGCCGAGAACGATACACACTTTTAATAATTACTGCAAATGCAACTACCAACCACCTCAAGAGCAGACTCTGCTGTTCATTCAAACTTGATCCGCTCGGTGGGCGGGAGCACGTCCCGGGATTGTCGTCACCGCCGGCCAATGCGAGGAGCGGATTCGAGAGGGAGCGGATTTACAGAGGCGCTGACCAATCAGCGCTCTTCTTTGGACCTGGGTGGAGTTCTGGTGTCGAAGTTTGGTTGTTTAAGTTTACATGGAAATAACAAAATTTGACTTTTTTTTGTATCAATGTAAATCTGTCATTAATAAACCTTAACTTAAATCACAAGCCTTGTGTTAAAGTAGATTTGTTTTAATGTAAATGTAACTCAATGCATCTTACAACACATTTTGTCTAAATATAAAAAAAAACTCCAACAATGTCAAGCAGAATAAATACTCTAAATATTAATGCAACGTTCATAAGGATTATTACATAAACAGGATAAAATGCAGGTTGTTTATTGGAAAAAGAAAATAAATWGTCTTATATTACTTTCTAAAGTAGTCATGTACTTAACTGAAAGATACAATTCTCATTTGATTTTGACAGAGACCTGGGAGTTTCACTTTTGTCTAATTTGACTTCTAATTAAAATAGTTTGAAGTCTATAAATGTGTCACATCTTTTATATTTACAACTCAGACTACACAAAATATTGCATTTTGATATGCATTATTTTCACCAAAAGATTTAAGGCATATAAAGATAGTAATTATTGCAAATTAAAGTGAGTGAAACCATAAATATATGTTCAAAACAGTCCTGAAGTGTAGTTTGTAGTTTTCAGTTAYTTAAATAATCAAATTTCATTAAGTTAAAGGTATGTTGACTTAAATTAGAATTTTTATCAATGCTTTGTACAACTTTTGACATTTATTTTACATATAATTAGTTTAACTCAAGTTGAAAAGGACAGTTTTCCACCCTTCAGTGGGTGGTGGTTGCAAAAGCTCAACTTTTTTCCTCTTTGCTGCTGACTGGTTGAGAAAATGATTAAGACAAATCTGCTTTTGTTCACAAGGGGGAATCAGAGCCATCAGTGTGAAACAGCAGGATGGACACAAGTTCATGATGAAGAGAGGGTTTTGTAACTGTTTAACTATAATGAAGAATATAATGAGTGGGGATATTATGCTGTCTGTCCATGCTTTCAAAGCTCAAGATATAATCTCTATTTATACCTCAGCTAAGTGCTGAAGACCATTTTCACCCTCTGCACAATTTGTTCTGTGGCCATCAGGCAAATATTACAAGTTTACAGTATAATAAATAATAAACATAAATAACAAATTGCATCTGAAGTCGATGAATGGGATATAAATAAGTTTTAATCACATTTTTCATTTTATTTTTCATATTTAGTGACATATATTTAAAAAGTGAACAATCAACTTTTACCTGTGTTAAAACCCCTGCTGCTGTCAAATAGGCACAAAGCTATAATACTAGTCCCTTTAGAGCTGTGGTCCCCAAACTACGGCCCACGGGCCGGATCCGGCCAGAGAGCATTTAGGTTTTTTTTTTTCATGTGTATTTATATTTGATTATAAAGTTGGACTTTTGCAATAAAATGTTCCTTAGTTATGAACTATTTTCATTATTAACTATTATTAGTTTGTAACTATTTTCATTCATACACGCATATAACGTGACATTCTGCTCCACCCTTCTGCGGTCTGTGCCCCTGTCTGGCAACCCCCAGAAAAAAATCCTAAACCCGCCCCTCTCAAAGAGAGAATGGAATAATGGCAAAAAGACTAGGTAAGAGAAAAATTGATTCAGAATGCAGGGCATTTAAGCTTCAGTGGACAAACCAAACGATTATTATTTTGTTAATCTGTAAAGAGGCAGTGGCGATATTCAAAGAATACAATCTGCGGCGACACTATGAATCCCGTCACAAAGACACGTATGATAGCTTGCAAGGCCAAATGCGATCAAACAAACTCTCAAAGCTAAAAAGATGGACTGTTAGCTCAGCAGAATACATACTGTGAAGAACCCAGAGAGGGTTATTTGATTGTGCTTTCTGGAAAACAATCATTTTTTTACATTTAGGCACTCCTGCAATAGTCACACTTTTTCTGTTACAAACTGTCTCCGGCCCCCCACCCGAGAAGGGAAAAGTTATGTGGCCCTTACAGGAAAAAGGTTTGGGGACCCCTGCTTTAGAGATTTAGAATTACATCGAAAGGTAACTGGTTTGCAGCCAAAGCGTAGCTAACACCAAGACTCATCAAGACCTCTGAGTCGTCCACGTCCTCAGCACCTGCAGATGCAGTTCCTGAACCACCTGCAGTCACCACTTCCTGTCCCTGAGGATCCAGTACCAGTGGTTCCAGTTGCTGGGTCTGCACTGCAGGGGCGGAGCTAGGAACGTGATCAAGGTGGTTTTTAGGGGGGCACATGCAAATAAGTWAAATTACTTTGGATTTCAAAATTCAAGCTGCACAGCTAACTTAAACTTGCTGTAATTTATCTGTTTTAAGAACATTKGAGCTGCATTTTTGTGCATGATTATACCTGAGGGTGAGCCAAAAACAAACTGATTGTCCCAACTAAGGTAAGTGCWGATGCTAATTCCACAAAGAGGTATTTAACCGTTTTTAAGCACACAGCTGAAAATTAACGTAGTTGTAACCAAGTCTTCTTTTTTACAAAATCTGATTTCAATTACAAAGTTCAAGATGGCTGCCAAAGCTAATTCCAAATGGCTATTTTTAGAGATACTGAGCTGAAACTTACCATACCATCTTTATTTGTAGAGCACTTTAAACACTCACAGGGCCAAAGTATAAAACATGCATACATTCATAAAATCAATAAAAATAAATAAAAACATAAAAACAGCACTGCAAATTGTGTTCAAAGGCCAGAGAGAAAAAAAAAGAGTTTTGAGAAGAGATTTAAAAACAGACAGGGACGACGCCTGTCTGATGTCCAAAGGAAGGTTGTTCCATAATTTAGGAGCTGCCACAGAAAAAGCACATTCACCTCTGAGCTTACGCTTTGTCTTGGGCACAGTCTGGAGCAGCTGATCAGCTGACCTGAGGGATCGAGAGGG